ATTATTGGTAAACATAAAAATGGTACTCGGGTTGTTGAACTAGCTAGGCAGTACAAGAAATCTGTCAATGATATGCACTGTAATTGCTAAGAAAAGGACATTATGAATGCTAATTTGGCAAAAGGCATATCAACAATCACGAAATAAAGAACACAAACACTTGAGGATGTTGAAAAGTTGTTATTAATTTGGATACACAAGGAGTTAGCAGGTGATAGCATTTCAGAGGCCATCATTTGTGAGAAAGCAAGGCAACTGCATGAAGACCTTTTAAAGAAAACCCCTGGAACGAGTGATGCAGATACGAAAGCTTTTAAAGCAAGCAGGGGATGATTTGAGAAATTTAGAAAAAGACGTGGTATTCATGTGCAGGCAATGAGTCTCAATAACGTGGCTCAAGAATCGCCACGGATTCTGAAGAATCTCAATTGACTTGAGAATGGTCCAGGATGGACCGAAATGTCATCGTCCCTTCATCGTCTAGTGTGTGGTCTGGTCAACAAGTGGTATTCATAGTGTAATGAGGCATGGGGAGGCTGCCAGCTCAGACAAGCCAGAGGCCGAAAGATTTATCGATGAATTTAAAGACTTTGTAGAGAGTGAGGGATACCTACGACAACAAGTGTTTAATTGTAATGAGACAGGACTATTCTGGGAAAGATTGCCAAAGAGGACATACATTACCCAGGAAGAGAAGTCATTGCCCAGACACAACCCTATGAAAGATAGGCTAACTCTTGTGTTGTGTGGAAATGCGAGTGGCGATTTGAAAATTAAACCCTTGCTTGTGTATCATTCTGAAAATCCAAGGGTTTTAAAAAAAAAATAATGTGCAGAAAAGTCAAATGTGTGTGATGTGGAGGGCTAATGGTAAGGCATGGGTGACAAGGCAATTTTTTACTGTGTGGGTAAATGAGGTGGTTTGCCCTTCCATCTAAAGAAAAGTTTGCCACTCAAGGCTCTGCTTCTCCTCCAGGCTTGGAAGATGCAGTGTTAGACAAATTTAATTTTGTTACAATAAAGTTCCTTCCTCCTAACACCACTCCTCTAATTCAGCCTATGGACCAAAAAATCATATCCAATTTTAGGAAAATTTTAAGAAACTTTATGAAAGGGCACTTTTCTGGATATGTTTCAAAGTGACATTCTACACACCTCACCCTCAAAGAGTTCTGGAAAAACTATTTTAATATTTGTAGTGCTTTAAAACTCATTGACAAAGCCTGGCAAGAAGTGACTCAAATCTCTGGTCTCTGGCTGGAGAAAATTGTGGCCTGAATGTGTTTCAGAACTAGACTTTGAGGTGTTTGAGCCTGGACCTGAAGTGCCTATTGTTGAGGAAATTGTTACTCTGGCCTGGAAATTAGGTTTGGAGTCGGATGGTATTGATGTGGAGGAATTGGCAGAGGAACACAGCGAAGAACTGACCACCGAAGAACTCCTAGCCCTTCACAATGAGCAGCAATAAGAGGCAGCTGAAGAAATGTCTTCAGGAAAGGAGGAGGCAGTATAGAATGTCCCTTCCTCAACAATTAGGAAGTTGTGTAGACGATGGGAAGAAATGCAAACTTTGTTGAAACGACTCACCCAGAGCATGCTGTAGTAGGCAATGTAGTAATGACAATGTGATGCCTCACTACAGACAAGTGTTACAACAAAGGGGAAAACAATCCTCTATGGATCGATTTTAAGTGAGAAAATCAAGCAGTGAGCCACAGGCAGGACCTAGTGGTATGCAGGCAAAATGTGCCAGAGAGTGCACCCCCAGAGAAGTCATCATTGCCTGATGTTATAATGGAAGGGGACGCCCCTTCCAAACACTAATACCTCCTCCTCCTTCCCCCGCCCCTTCCTCACCTTCTTCCATATGCCAATAAGAGTCATCAATAAAGGTAAGTAATAACTTGTACATACTTTAGTACTGAATATTTGGGTGAATTACTGTAGGTATAAAATTTACTATGAAGTTTATTTTTTTGGGTGTGTGGGACAGAATAAGTTTATGTACATAATTTCATATGGGAAAATTCGCTTTGGTTTACAAATTTTCGGCTTCCGAACTGTTTCTGGGAACGGAATAAATTTGTAAGCTGAGATACCACTGTATCGAGATTCTGTGACAAATTCTTGCTCAATCAGCAGATTACAGAACCAACTATGAACAAAAACACGCTGGAACTGATATTCACCAACAATGATGAGCTAATCAGAGAGATTACATACTCCGACCACAAGATCATTGAAGTGCAAACTAACATTAATAACGGTAGTAGGCCCAAGAGAAACAACAATCGAGAAGGGTTAGTCAGTAAATTCAATTTTAATAATAAAAGGATAGATGGAGAAAATAAACAGGGACCTTACAAGCATGCAATGGGAAATATAACAGAATTTATATCAAAACAGAGATGCAGAACTAGGAAACATGATTGGTTCAACAGAAATTGCAAGAGAGCCAGAAACCAAAAGACGCAAAAATGGAATCAATATAGGAAGAGGCCAAACCCCCAAACATACCAGCGATACAAAGATGCGAGAAACAACTACTGTACACGGCAGTGAGGAGAGGCAGAAAGAAATTTTGAAAAAGGGATTGCAGACAAATGTAAAACAGAACCAGGCCTATTCTATAAATTCATAAACAACAATTTGTAGGTAAAGGATAATATTCAGAGGTTGGAAATGGGAAACAGATTCACGGAAAATGAAAAGGAAATGTGTGAAACATTAAACAAAAAGTTCCAAAGTGTGTTTGTACAAAATGAGATATTCAGGAAACCAGACACAATGAGAATTCCAGAGAACAACATAGAGCACATAGAGGTGTCTAGAGACGAAGTGAAACAAATGCTCAAAAAGCTAAGTAAGAACAAAGCAGTTGGTCCAGATGAAGTTTCACCATGGGTTCTGAGAGAATGTGCACCTGAGCTAAGCATTTCACTTCAACTGATTTTTCAGTCATCCCTGTGTACGGGAGTTGTAGCTGATGTATGGAAAAAAGAATAACATAGTTCCTATCTACAAAAGTGGCAGCAGGGAAGATTCCCTTAATTATAGACCTGTATCATTGACAAGTGTAACACTCAAAATATTGGAACAAATAATTAAAACTAAATGGGTAGAATACCTGGAGAAAAACGATATAATATCAGACAGACAGTATGGTTTTCGATCTGGAAGATCCTGTGTAACAAATTTACTCAGTTTCTATGATCGAGCCACAGAGATTTTACAGGAAAGAGATGGTTGGGTTGACTGCATCTATCTGGACCTAAAAAAGGCTTTAGACAGAGTTCCACATAAGAGGTTGTTCTGGAAACTGGAAAATATTGGAGGAGTGACAGGTACGCTTCTAACATGGATGAAAAAATTTCCTAACAAATAGAAAAATGAGGGTCGTAATCAGAGGCAATGTACCTGATTGGAGGAACGTCACAAGTGGAGTACAACAGGGTTCAGTTCTTGGTAATGTTCATTGTCTACATAAACGATCTACCAGATGGAATACAGAATTATATGAACATGTTTGCTGATGATACTAAGATAATAGGGATGATAAGTAACTTAGATGATTGTCATGCCCTTCAGGAAGACCTGGACAAAATATGTATATGGAATACTACTTGGCAAATGAAATTTAATGTGAATAAGTGCCATGTTATGGAATGTGGAATTGGAGAACATAGCCCCCACACAACCTATAAATTATGAGAAATCTTTAAAGAATTCTGATCAAGAAAAATCTAGGGGTGGTTCTAGATAGAAACCTGTCACCTGAGGACCACATTAAGAACATTGTGCGAGAAGCCTATGCTACACTTTCTATTTTCAGAATTACTTTTAAATACATTTTTTTTTTTTTTTTAGATATATACAAGAGCTGTTACATTCTTGTACAGCCACTAGTACGCATAGCATTTCGGGCAATTTCTTAATCCTATGGTCCCTGTAATACAACCCATACAAAGAATCATTTTTACAACCAAGTACCCATTTTACTGTTGAGTTAAACAGAGGCTACAGTTAAGGATTTGCACCCAATAAATCCTCCCCGGCCAGGATACGAACCCAGGACAAAGCGCTCGCGGTACGCCAGGCGAGTGTCTTACCACTACACCACGGAGACTGACTCATGGATGGAGAAATACTAAAGAAACTGTTCACAACTTTTGTTAGACCAAAGTTGGAATATGCAGCGGTTGTGTGGTGCCCATATCTAAAGAAGCACATCAACAAACTGGAAAAGGTGCAAAGACATGCCACTAAGTGACTCCCAGAACTGAAGGACAAGAGCTACGAGGAGAGGTTAGAGGCATTAAATATGCAAAAACTAGAAGACAGAAGAAAAAGACGATATGATCACTACATACAAAATAGTAACAGGAATCGATAAAATTGATAGGGAAGAATTCCAGACCCGGAACTTCAAGAACAAGAGGTCATAGATTTAAACTAACGAAACAAAGCTACCAGAGAAATATAAGAAAATTCACTTTTGTAAACAGATTTGTAGACAGTTGGAACAAGTTAAATGAGAAGGTGGTGGAGGCCAAAACCGTCAGTAATTTCAAAGCGTTATACGACAGTGGTGAAGCGACGGGACACGATGAGCGTAGCTCTCATCCTGTAACTACACTTAGGTAATCACACACACACTAGTGTCACAGGTAGGGTGAGGCAAGATGTACTCACCCTCAGATCACACACTGCACCAGTACAAATGTTGGGAGACGCGTTTATGTTGAAAATTATAAAGTTTCAAGTGTTTGTTGCGTGTGTTAGAGGAAGACTTACCACCTTGTGTGTTGTGTTTATGGTGTCAGCTGGGGACCAGAGGGAGACTTACCACCCTGTGTTGTGTTTATGGTGTCAGCTGGGGACCAGAGGGAGACTTGCCACCCTGTGTGTTGTGTTTATGGTGTCAGCTGGGGACCAGAGGGAGACTTACCACCTTGTGTGTTGTGTTTATGGTGTCAGCTGGGGACCAGAGGGAGACTTACCACCTTGTGTGTTGTGTTTATGGTGTCAGCTGGGGACCAGAGGGAGACTTACCACCCTGTGTTGTGTTTATGGTGTCAGCTGGGGACCAGAGGGAGACTTGCCACCCTGTGTGTTGTGTTTATGGTGTCAGCTGGGGACCAGAGGGAGACTTACCACCCTGTGTTGTGTTTATGGTGTCAGCTGGGGACCAGAGGGAGACTTGCCACCCTGTGTGTTGTGTTTATGGTGTCAGCTGGGGACCAGAGGGAGACTTGCCACCCTGTGTGTTGTGTTTATGGTGTCAGCTGGGGACCAGAGGGAAACTTACCACACTGTGTTGTGTTTATGGTGTCAGCTGGGGACCAGAGGGAGACTTGCCACCCTGTGTGTTGTGTTTATGGTGTCAGCTGGGGACCAGAGGGAGACTTGCCACCCTGTGTGTTGTTTATGGTGTCAGCTGGGGACCAGAGGGAGACTTGCCACCCTGTGTGTTGTGTTTATGGTGTCAGCTGGTCAACTCATCTACCTCGGGGTCGGTACGCGGGTTCACTCGGGGTCAAGTCAGGGTTCACTGGGGTCACGTCGTCTACTGCAGTTTCGTCCACCGCACCAGTAACAACTTGGTTCACTGAGAAGTTCGTACATACAAACACTTCCGTTCGTATATGCGCTGGTGTGTGTTCGCTGCTGGTCTCGTCTCAATATATACATGACACTTCATCATTTATTTATTTATTTATTTATTTATTTATGCATATACAAGAAGGTATATTGGGAATGTGAGGATATATAATTTGGTAATTACAAACTTGTAAAGCCACTAGTACGCGCAGCGTTTCGGGCAGGTCCTTAATCTAAGAAAATTTTAAGTAGGTAAATACTTGCAAAATTTATATAAAATGATAACAGTTACAAGGCAAGAAAAAAAATAAAAGATGAGAGAAAATTGTAGGTATAATTAAAGCACATAGGTAGCTCAGATTGATTGCAATGACAGCGTGAATGGTACATTACATTACACATAATCGGTTTAGGTGATTAGATATGTATGTGTATGTATATGTGTATATGTATATATATATATGTACATGTATGTATGAGGGTGTGTACATGTGTATACAACATTGATAATTTTGTAACTAGCGTCAAACATTGTTATTTGCTTAGCTAAACGAACTAGAGGGTTCAGTTCCTGAACCGATTATGTGCCTCTGTAATCCTTTACACCACCGCCCACGGGATGGGTATGGGGTGCATAATAAAGAAAGAAATTGAATTGGTTCAGGAACTGAACCCTCTAGTTCGTTTAGCTAAGCAAATAACAATGTTTGACGCTAGTTACAAAATTATCAATGTTGTATAATTACAATTACAATACAATACAATACAATTTTATTTAGGTAAGGTACATATATATGTACATGTATTGTAATTAATTGTATTGTATTAATTGATTAATTGTACATGTATTAATTGTACATGTATTGTAATTACAAAAAATTGTAATTACAATTACAATTACAATTTTATTTAGGTAAGGTACATACATACAATAAATATTTACAAGGATTGTTTGACTTATAGGTAGAGCTAGTACATACAATGCCTAAAGCCACTATTACGCAAAGCGTTTCGGGCATGATAAACTTAAATGACAAGCTTAATACTAATTGAGCATAATGAGTAGAATGAAAACAAGAAATGAAAACATAGATGAAAAAGCAGCACAAATACAATTATGTCGACAAACAGCGCTCTTTAAAGAAAAAAACAGACATTGATTGACAATAGAAGGGTAAGGTAGGTTACAGGGAATTTATTAGGTATAGCTTCGCTTTTAACTTAAACTGGTTGAGAGAGGTACAGTCTTTAACATGGTTGGGAAGGTCATTCCACATTCTGGGCCCCTTGATTTGTAGATCATTTCTAGTTTGATTAAGTCGTACTCTAGGAATATCAAAACTGTATTTATTTCTGGTGTGATGCTCATGGGTTCTGATACAACCTTCTATGAAGCTTTTGAGATCAGGATTGGCATTATAGTTTAGCGTTTTATATATGTATAATACACATGAGAGAATGTGCAGTGACTTAATGTCTAACATATTCAGAGATTTAAGTAGGGGTACCGAGTGATGTCTGGGGCCAGAGTTGGATATTGTCCTAATAGCAGCTTTGTGTTGAGTAATTAGAGGACGTAAGTGATTTTGGGTAGTAGAGCCCCAAGCACAAATACCATAGTTGAGATATGGATAGATAAGGGAGTAATAGAGAGTCACCAGGGCAGGGCGTGGTACATAATATCTGATCTTAGAAAGAATGCCCACAGATTTTGAAACTTTTTTTGATATATTTAGAATGTGTCCCTGGAAATTAAGCTTGTGGTCAATGAGAATGCCAAGGAATTTGCCATCTAATTTGTTACAAATTTGGGTATTGTTTATTTTGAGATTTATTTGATTGGAGGATTTATTGCCAAACAGAATATAAAAGGTTTTGTCAATGTTAAGGGCGAGTTTTGTGGGTGGGAGTTTTGTGGGTTTTGTGGGTTTTAAGGGTGAATTTGCCATCTAATTTGTTACAAATTTGGGTATTGTTTATTTTGAGATTTATTTGATTAGAGGATTTATTGCCAAACAGAATATAAAAGGTTTTGTCAATGTAAGGGTGAGTATACACATGTACACACCCTCATACATACATGTACATATATATATACGTATACACATATACATACACATACATATCTAATCACCCACACAAATACACAAATCAATAATCTTTGTGTCACAAGTGACATTACAAGAGGCTCACAACAGTCACTATACAAGGCACTTAACAGTAACAAATGCATACAATGCCTAAAGCCACTATTACGCAAAGCGTTTCGGGCAGGAAAAACATTAATGACTAAAACTTAATACTAATTGAGTATAAAGAATAAAATGTGTTGAGAACAAATAAAAATATCAAATCAAATCAAATCAAAACAGAACCCATGAGCACCACACCAGAAATAAATAGTTTTGATACTCCTAGAGTACGACTTAATCAAACTAGAAATGCTCTACAAACCAAGGGACCCAGAATGTGGAATGACCTTCCCAGCCATGTTAAAGACTGTACCTCTCTCAACCAGTTTAAGATAAAAACGAAGCTATACCTAATAAATTCCCTGTAACCTGCCTTACCCCTCTATTGTCAACCAATGTCTGTTTTTTTTTAAATGACGCTGTTTGTCGACCGAATTGTATTTGTGCTGCTTTTTCAGCCATGTTCCCCCCTTTTTTATATCTTTTTTTATTTGTTCTCAACTCATTTTATTCTTTATGCTCAATTAGTATTAAGCTTTAGTCATTTAAGTTTTTCATGCCCGAAACGCTCTGCGTAATAGTGGCTTTAGGCATTGTATGTACTAGCCCTATCTATAAATCCATCACTCTTTGTAAAATCTCTTGTATGTATGTACCTTACCTAAATAAACATTTGATTTGATTTGATTTTGATCTTACGTAATCAGAGTTAAATGGCAAGTTTTTCCCTGAATGCTCTGTGTTCCCTTCTCTGAGACTGAGGGTCCCTATAATTGCACCAGAGGTGGTACCCCCCCCCTCCCCCCCCCCCCTCTCTCTCTCTCTCTCTCTCTCTCTCTCTCTCTCTCTCTCTCTCTCTCTCTCTCTCTCTGTCTCTCTCTCTCTCTCTCTCTCTCTCTCTCTCTCTCTCTCTCTCTCTCTCTCTCTCTCTCTCTCTCTCTCTCTCTCTCTCTCTATATATATATATATATATATATATATATATACATATATATATACATATATATATACATATATATATATATATATATATATATATATATATATATATATATATATATATATATATATATATATATATATATATATATATATATATATATATATATATATATATATATATATATTTTCTCTATTTTTTTTCTTATGAAATGATAAAGCTACCCATTTCATTATGTATGAGGTCAATTATTTTTTATTGGAGTTAAAATTAACGTAGATATATGACCGAACCTAACCAACCCTACCTAACCTAACCTATCTAAATATGTTAGGTTAGGTTAGGTAGCCGAAAAAGTTAGGTTAGGTTAGGTAGTCGAAAAACAATTAATTCATGAAAACTTGGCTTATTAGGCAAATCGGGCCTTGCATAGTAGGCTGAAAAGTGCGTTCTGGCTACTAGGTACGACATATATATATATATATATATATATATATATATATATATATATATATATATATATATATATATATATATATGTCGTACCTAGTAGCCAGAACTCACTTTTTGGCCTACTATGCAAGGCCCGATTTGCCTAATAAGCCAAGTTTTCATGAATTAATATATTTTTTCTAATTTTTTTCTTATGAAATGATAAAGCTACCCATTTCATTATGTATGAGGTCAATTTTTTTTTATTGGAGTTAAAATTAACGTAGATATATGAGCGAACCTAACCAACCCTACCTAACCTAACCTAACCTATATTTATAGGTAAGGTTAGGTTAGGTAGCCAAAAAAAGCTAGGTTAGGTTAGGTTAGGTAGGTTAGGTAGACGAAAAAACATTAATTCATGAAAACTTGGCTTATTAGGCAAATCGGGCCTTGAATAGTAGGCTGAGAAGTGCGTTCTGGCTATTAGGTACGACATATATATATATATATATATATATATAAATACAGAATAAAATAATAAAAAGAAAAGAGAAAATAATAAATACAGAATATGCGGTCATATTCAATGAAACATGTTTGAAAGAAAACCTGCTGCCAGTATACACCAATATATATATATATATATATATATATATATATATATATATATATATATATATATATATATATATATATATATATGGATATTGAATAGAAGTGTTTGTAGAAAGCCTATTGGTCCATATTTCTTGATGCTTCTATATTGGAGCGGAGTCTTGAGGTGGGTAGAATATAGTTGTGCAATAATTGGCTGTTGATTGCTGGTGTTGACTTCTTGATGTGTAGTGCCTCGCAAACGTCAAGCCGCCTGCTATAGCTGTATCTATCGATGATTTCTGTGTTGTTTACTAGGATTTCTCTGGCGATGGTTTGGTTGTGGGAAGAGATTATATGTTCCATAATGGAGCCCTGTTGCTTATGCATCGTTAAACGCCTAGAAAGAGATGTTGTTGTCTTGCCTATATACTGGGTTTTTTGGAGCTTACAGTCCCCAAGAGGGCATTTGAAGGCATAGACGACGTTAGTCTCTTTTAAAGCGTTCTGTTTTGTGTCTGG